TAAAAGGGCAACAATAGGAATAATACTTTATAAAGTTTGGAGTATCTGGGTCGGCAGAGGAATTCCTGCAAGGACTTTTGATCAGGCAGGTGTGAATCCTTGAAGTTGTCTATGGACATATAAAACAGAAAATTTTAATCTTTTTATTTAAGGCTAGTGTTTAGGATTAACTAGTATGCTGCATTAAATAAGTCTAGAAATAATTATATGACATTTGATAATTTTGAAAAGCATCATGGAATTATACTAATATGTGTATTAATAGCTTGTTCTATCACTGTTAGCTATTACGTATCTAATGGTTTGAATTGTTTTTTCAAAAAAGATCAGCATACTGCAAATGTATTAATAAATTTTAGAAAAATTAAATACAAAACAAAGAAGATGGTATTTTGATTACCGTTTTGAGCCTTGGTGTATTATCAGTTTATTGTACACATTGCCAAAAAAAAAGATCATGGTTGGGGAATGGTGTTACATTGAGAAGACAAGCATGGCTATTTGTGATGTAGGCTAGTGACACTAATAAACTTTTTAGAAATGTATATATTATCTGCAATCTTGTATGGAGGAACAGTCCCTGACTTAAGAATGTTTGACTTAAAAGTTTTCTACTTTAGAATGGTATGAAATTTACCCATACAACCATTCTGGTTTTCACTTTCAGTACAGTATTTATTGCTATAAAATAGGCTTTATGTCAGAAAATTGCCCAAATGTAGGCTAGTGCAAATATTCTGAGCACAGCTGAGGGTAGACTAGGGTAAGGTGTGATGTTCAGTGGTTGTATTAAATGCATTTTTGAATTATGGTATTTGCCACTTAGAATAGATTTATCAGGATGGGACTCCATTAAGATGAAGCATCTGTATCCATCTGAAAGTAATGATACCAACATGGACTTACCTAATTTTTATTTTTAGAGAGCTGAGAAAAATTTAGGCTTCTTTGTTGTTTAGTCCCATGAATACTAATCACCTTTGTTAATGTTTCACTTAATCTTGTATTTAGATACAACAGTAGGATCCAAATACAAAATCTGCATATTTATTCTAGTTTTGCTTAATCTGCTATCACATTGACAGGTTCTAAATATTGCTTTAAGTTCCGGATATTTAAAATAGTATGCTTTAGAAATTTATTGTATTGTAACAAAGCTGGTTATTAGTACCGCATGAACATGCAGTGTGAAGTTTAACACTAGAAATTGTTGAAGACCAGAATACTAAGCTGAGGGCTGGAGATTTAGCTCAGTGGTTCTGCCGCCTGCCTCAGAATACTAAGCTGAGATGTTGTATAAAACTAAAATGAAGAATGAAGGGATGGTTAATTTATTTAGGGAATATATATATGTAAGTACTTATACAAACACATAGGTTTCATAGTCCTAAGGATCACCCTGTGCACTTGGCTGCATGCTAGGCTAACACTCTTATCACTGAACTATATCCCCAGCCTAGGGGCAATATTTAAAAGCATCCATTGGTAGATTTCTCTAATTTCCTTGATGGATTTGGTATGCTGAACTCTGTAAGAACTATTATCTTAGAGACTTAAGTATAGAAATGTATGCTAGCTGTGCATAGTGGCATTAAAGAGCATTTTAATTTATTTTCTTACCATTGCCATTGTTCCTCTGTCTCATTCACTTTCATTTGTAGGTTACTTTTTAAGATATTAGATAATCTATATAACATCTTAATCTTTAGGAGGAATGAAATGGCATTCCTTGGCCTTTACACACAAATGAAAATCATAGGCCACAGGCTGAATTATAACTTTTTTCTCTCAGAGAGGTTTTTCTATTGGTGTGTGGATTAGGTATAGTTCTAGGAGTACTGACTGCTTGGTTTTAAGTGCTGGTGCTATTTAATAGGTTTAATTTGCTAGTGTGCAACATAGTAAAATTTTTTTCATTTGTATCCAATTTTTTAGCCTTTTTCGTAATATGAAACTTTGATCTTTGCTTTGGAAAGGAATCTCAAGGTACTTTAAGTAATAACTGTGGTGATTGAGTACTCTGATGCTTGCTGAGGATTTTTTTTTTCTGATATACTCTGTATGTCCTTAATGTATAGTTTGTTTTAAGAATGAAATATAATTTAGCATTAACTTTTACATTTACTTTGGGTTTTAGAGTCTTGTATTAGTAGTGTCTGGGTTAATATTACTTACCAAAATTTTTTTGTCCTAGATTTGTATTTTAATGTTTGACTGACTTGATACTTTTTTTATACATTCTGTTGACTGATAGGATCCTTTTTTAAAGATAGTTTTGTTGCTGTTATCCTTTTCTCCTGAGAATTAGAATTTGTAACTAGTCAGGTGCAGTCATGCCTTTGTAAGCATTTATGCAAAGATTTATTGGGTAGCAGCTATACTAACTGCATTTCAAGAGCTCAGTAGCTCCATATAGGTAGTAACTTTTGAATTGGATAGCAGATTCTTAATATTTCCATCATGCAGAAAGGTCTTAGAATACGGTAGTCCTCTTCTAGACTCTGAAGAATCAAAGATAACCATTGTTGTGCTTACCTTCTGATGTAGTTGAAAGATAGTAAATAAGAATATAATGTCAATACTAGGAGTAAAGAAAAATGTAAAGCAGGGTGTAAAAAGAGCATGTTCTGGCAACAGATGGGAGACAAGAAAAGAGTGGAAGGTTGTCAAATGCTTGCTGAGAATAAAACATTTGAATATAACTGAATGACATGACATGTGAAGAGATCTGTAGTGAGAACATTCTTGGATAGGAAATGGCAAGTACAAAGGCACATAGTTGAGAACAAGCTTTACATATGAAGAATGCCCAGCTGTGGTGGAAGTTGATGGAGAAAAAATGACAATGGTCACCTTGTGGGGCTCTGATCCTACAAAGGAGTTTGGATTTTAACTTGTGTGTGGTAAAAAGGTGCTGATGAGAGGGTTTTGAGCAGAGGAGTAGCATAATCTCCATTATGTTTATTTAACTTGTTGAATTTACAGAATTAGAACACTGTGTTCACTATCCCTTTTAGCAACACACTAATGAAAAAACAGTCCTACATTTCCAGTTCCTTTCTCCCTTCCATTATAGTTCTGGAGCAATGATACATGCTTTCAAAGATTACCCTTGTTGTTGTGTATGTGGAAAGTTGACTTTGGGGGGATAATGTAATCACTTTGTACTCCAAACATGTACTAACAAAAAAAAAAAATAATTAAAAAAAATCCTGATAAATAGAGGAATCTAAACATTTAGAAGTAAGGAAGAAGAGAGTTGTGTTGGATACTATTCAGAAATTGCTGAGGTGTAGGCCGACCAGCTGTTTTAGTATATTAAATTCTACATCTTAGGAAAACTCAGTCTCTGGCAAAATGGAATGATTGGTCACCCTGGATCAAACGATATGAGTTCTGACCTGGAGTTAGAAAGGTAGTTTTTGATGTAAATTCTAAAGGATTTGGGGAAAGTACATTGCTTTTTGAAAGTGTTAGGTACTGTACCTTTAATAGGAAATGATGGAAGGCTAAAGAATAAAGTTAGGATATAAATAGAACATGAAGTGGAAGCCTTTATTTTGTATTTCATGAACATTACATTAACGGTATGAATTCAGAATTTTCTTAAATCTCATTCACTCTTTTTTTCTTAAAAATAGTAAATAAATGTGGCAAAGTAATTAAGCACCAGAAGAATCTATGGATGAAAATTGGATACCCTCAGTTCATTATGACTTTTTTAGATTTATTTACATTTTATCGATAGCAGAAGGTAGATCATAGTGAAACATTTATAGTTGAATACTGACAAATTGTCAGATTTCTGCCTAAAGTTTTGTTGGTTATTTTGCTTAATTTGTTCTCATAAATCTTCTAATCTTAATCTTTATTTCAATAGGAGTCATGGCTTCGAAAGAATTATCTTACTGATTTCAAACATCATTTTATGAGTCATTTTCCATATGCCTTAAAAGAAATAACCAAGCACAGAAGGAAAGAGACAAATAAAAGGTATTGTGATTATTCCCTACTGTATCTCCTTGAAAAGCTGTGTAATCTGAAACTATTAGAAATGACTAGTCACTTGGGCTGGGGATTTATCTCAGTGGTCCTGCCACCTGCGTTGCAAGCTCAAGGTCTCAAGTTCAATCCCCGGTACCAAAAGAAAAGAAATAACTAGTCTTAATCTGAAACTGTTTATACTATTAGGTGTTTATAATCTAAATTTTTGTGGAAGTAAAAATAGCAGTAGTATGGTCGATCTTGAATATGTCACTTTAAGCTTCAGGACTAACAGCTGAGCGTGGTGGCAGGTGCCTGTAATCCCAGCACTTGGGAGGTTGAGGCAAAAGAATCGCTGAAATTTTGAGGCCAGCGTGGGCTATAGTGAGACCCCGTCTTTAAAAAAAAAAAAAAAAAGGAAAAGAAACCTAAAAGCATTAGGACTAACACTTTTGATATTTTAAAAAGGTAGGTACAGTTTTGTGCTAGATAATTATATCAAATTACATAAAGATAAATTGGATAAAAGTTGCTGAGGTATATGGCTTATTTAGGTGAGGCACTATGTAATTACTGAATCTCTGAGTAAGAGACTATATGGTTATCTCATTCTGCTCTGTACACAAGGAAACTGGTAATGAAACTGATAGCAAGTATCTTGAAGAGGGATGATTGGAGAACAATTACAAAGAAAACCTGATGAATTAGAAAATTGAGTTAAGAAAAAAAAATAAACCTAGAAATATTTAAAATACATGCCCCAAATCAGAATAGATAAATGTGAGATCACATTATATAATAAAATTTAATAAATATGTAAAAGCTAGAATACTGTAACTGTAGTTTGCCCAAACAAGGTATTTAAAAGTTTCAAGGGAACTTAAAGTCTGTCAAAAGGTTTTTTAAATACATCAAGGGAAGAAATTAGGTAGAGAAACATGGAAGCTTTTTGAACAGAGTTCAAGAGATGTATACTTAGGTTGATAAGACTTAGGTATATGAATTTTTCATTTATTACATATTTTGGTTGGTAATTGTAAGGTTCTGTGATAAAAGATAATCAAATGTTTTAAGGTATATTCTTTACCCTCAAGTGATTTCATTCTAAGTCATAAGCATATATGGTGTGATTCAGTCAGATAAAAATACCAATGATTTAACAGAATTTAATATCCAAAATTACTAACTGTATTTAAAAAAAGCAGAAAAGAAGGCCTGGAGATTTAGCTCAGTTGTGCTGCATCTGCCTCAAAAGTGCAAGGTCCTGAGTTTGATTACCAGTACTGAAAAAAAAGCAGAAAAGACATAAAGGAACAAAAAGGTACAGTATTACAGAGTAGCAGCAACGCAGGAAGCAACTACTATCTTTAGAGCTCAGAAAACTAAGAAAGAAAGAAGGTTGGAAGAAGGGAGTAAAAATTTTGACCTCCAGAAAAGAGTACTGCTCAACTGGTGCTCCTGTTTTTTTGTTTGTTTGGTTTGGTTTGGTACTGGGGATTGAACTTGGTTACTTGTGCTTGCAAGGCAGGCAGCGGAACCTGGGCCCAGGTGCTCCTGTTTTTGACTTCAGAAAAAGATGGGACTGGCCCAGAATTCTGCACAGTGGGTTCAGGCTAACTTGTGCTGATGTTTTCTTAGTGGCTTGGTGATGTTGATTCCATGTCAGAAAAACTGCAAACTGAAATTGGAATGAATAGGTAATACTCTGCAGAAGAGTTACTGGTTGAGACTGACAACAGTTAGGAAGCAAAATCAGGACAAAGAAGGAAACATTATCATTTTTTGAGCCCAACTCGAGGCCAGATGTGAAAGAAAAAAACTGTGACTCAGAATTCCCGGCCCCAGTAGTGAATGGAGAGTGACTTGGAAATTGAGAAGCAGTAGTTCAGCAACTTCAAGAGAATTGAATTAACTTATGTAACATGAAGCGTATACAAGTATCAGAATATACAAGTACTATAAGAATTCATAGGAAGAGCCGGGGAATTTAGCTCAGTGATTCTACTGCCTGCTTCATAAGCACAAGGTACTAGAAAAAAGAATTCACAGGAAGAGAAAGACCACGTTTCAGAATAAACAAGCAAAGCTGTATTGATGAGAGTAGTATTTGAAATTGATGTGAACATGGATAATCAGGAGCAGTAGTGTAAGGGAGAAGAGACCACTAACAGGAAGAGGTAGCGTGTAAGAAATATATAGGATGAGGCCCAAGAATGGGGAGCAGGGATCTTGGCCAGATCTGGTTTCTGCTATTGGCCTTGATGCCAGAAAATGTTTACTGTCTTGAATTCATTTTTTTCTTTCTGCCATAAAGATAAACATGAATCATTTGTAGGAAAATGGTTGAGACATTAATGTTAAGTGAAATCGGACACATGAGCTTGAATATTGAATGATTATCTCTTATATGTGAAGACCAAATTATAAATGAAGAGTAAAATAAAAAATAATAGAAAGTAGGAAAATAGACCTTTCTCAAATGAGAAGGGGATCAAGAGATGTAGGGAGGGGAAGGAAAGAAGATGAAAAAAATGGATTAAGATGTGTTATGTCATATATGAACACATAAGGAATGTAAATGTTATATACAGCAAACATACTAATAACGCATACTTTTTTGGTTTTTTGAGACAGAGTCTCACTGTGTAGTTGAGACTCACTTGAAATGCACTATGTAGCCCCGGTTGGTCTTGAACACTCAGAGATCTTCCTGCCTCAGCCTCCCGAGTGCTGGGATTACAGGCGTGCACCACCACACCTGGCAAAAAAAAAAATTTTTTAAGGAAATTTAAAAAGAGTATGGGTATAGGCCTGATATGGTGGCTCATGCCTGTAATCCCTCCTTGCATTTGGCAGAGGCAGGAGGATGAACACAAGTTTGAGGCCAGCCAGTGCTAAATATTGAGTTTAAGGCCAGCTTGAACTGCCATAGTGAGACCTGACCTGTGTCAACCCCCTCCAAAGTATATGAATGTAGCCTCATCATTTATTAAACTTGTTGAACAATTACTATGTACAAGGCATTTAATATATCAGTGCAGAACATTTAGTGAAAAGGAAATAGAGTACCCGTTATCTTAGAATTCAGTTTAGCAAGTGACATTCAGTTCTTTGTTCTTTAATCAGTAACCTCTGTGAAGGAAGAGTTAGGGCAATGTAAAGGTATATATTCGAAGCCCAGTGTGGTGGTGCCTAGCTATAATCCCAGCACTGTGGCAAGCTGAGGTAGGGTGATCACAAGTTCAAGCCGTGCCCGGGCCACTTAACAGTTTCATAAGTACCTATCTAAATAAATAAATGAATGGATGAATGAATGAATGTGTAGCTCAGTGCAAGGGCTCAGGGGTTCATTGGCAGTATCACCACTATGCACCCCCCAAAGTACATACCAAGAAGCTGGTCATGTTCATTAATGGGGGTCAAGAACATTCTCTGGAAGGCTATCCTGATGAAGTATTTGTGCCAAGATAGAAAAGGAAGAAAGGAGTTAAGATTGAAGTGGCAAAATTGTGGGATTTTTAGCAAAGCTTGCTGGTATAGCTAATTTATTTGTGATGTTTCTCCTAGTGATGTATTTTTTGAGATGATGGGCTGCTCTTGTTTTCTCTAAGTTTATATGTTGAACACTTAGTGAATAGCCTGTGGAGGGCAACATAAATCAAAGTCCTCATAGTCCATCTTCAGAATTCTTCATCCTGAAATGAAACTCTATACAGTATTTAATAAACAGTAACTGCACATACTCCTTTCTTCTAGTCCCTAGTAACCACAGCTCAGCTTTCTGGGTATGATTTTGCTTATTTGAATCACGCAGTATTTGTCCTTTTGTGTCTGACATGAAATTTTGAAGGCTTGTCCTTTTTGTAGCATCACAATTCCATTCTATTTTAAAGTTTATTGTTTCAGCTGACATCAGACTTGAGCAGATTTTGCATATGCTCTGCCCCAATACATGCATACTCTTTCCAACTGTTATTACGCTGCACCAGAGTAGTATAGGTGTTAGAGTTGATAAACTTCCATGGATACATCATTGTCACCCAAAGTGATACTTCATTAAATTTACTCTTGACTTCACATTCTGTGAATTTTGACAAATGTATAATGGCTGTGTTTATCATTATAATATACAGAAGCATTTTGCTGACCCCCAAATTCCTCTGTTCTCTCCCTCAGCTGTTCATCCGTTGAAAATTCTGGGTAACTGCTTATCTTAATATCTCCATAGCTTTGTCTTCTCTAAAATGTCATACAGTTGGAGTTAATCAGTATGTAGCCTTTTCAGATTTCACTTAGTGATTTGCATTTAAGGTTCTTCCATGTCATTAAATGGCTTGCTTAATAGGTTATTTTTTTTGTAGTGCTCGCAATATTACATTATATTTAGAATGCACAAGCACCATGTTTTAGTTGTTTATCAGTAGGCATTTGAGTTGTTTCCACCTTTTGGCTATTGTGAATAATGCTGTTATGAACATTACCTCCAAATACCTGATGGAGTCCTTGTTTTTAGTTGTTTTATGTATGTCAAAGGATGTAATTTTGACATTTAAAAATTCAGTGTAGTTGAGTTATCTCGAACACTTTCTTTTTTGCATTTTTAAATCATTTACTTATATGGTGATTATTCTGATGAGGTAATTCCAGTTAAGTACAATGAGCAGGAGAAGGTTAGGAAACAGGTACAAGTAAGCCTTGCCTTTCACCTACTAGTCAACTTTTGAGAGTAATTCATTTTTTTGGCTAAAGCTGTCTATGAGTTAGAAAGGTTTTCCAGTATGCTAGGAAAGTTGCTTTAATTTTTGAGAGGGAATAATTTAGCAAATTGACTTTGAGGCATGAATTTATTACAAAGTGAACTAAAAAGCCAGTTTTTTCCAATGATGCTGGTGATGGAAGGGCCGGGAATGTAGCTCAGTGGCAGCACACTTGCCTAGAAAGTTCAAGGTCCTGAGTTCGATCCCCAGTACCATAAAAGTAAGAAAGAAAGGTTTCTTTTAAACATGCCC